CATAGGTATTGTCACGTACCTGGGTGAGGCCGAACTGACGAGAAGGCTTTCTCTTACACCCAGTGGTGTATTTAGGTTTTGTGCTGCCCTAGGCAACATAAAAAAATTGGACCCCCCCCGCCTGACATTGACCAACAACACCCCTGCCACCCCCCCCATCCGGAGTGGACGTCACTCACCTTTACAGCTCCGGACATCCCTGGGAACGAGAGTCGGGCTCTGCATACACCATCAAGCAGTCCGCAGCCTCTCTCAGCTACCACCTGGTACCCCTGCCCCGTGTGTCCCTTCTTCCATCCCTTCTTCCAGGGGCCAGTGCTGCCCCCCTGAAAAATGCTGCCCTAGGAAACTGCCTTGTTTGCCTTGTGGTAAATACGCCCCTGCTTACACCTCCAGTCCTGTTTCTCCTGGACGTGATGACAGAATATAACAGGGCAAAGAGTGGCAAGTGTGCCTTGTTGGTGACCCTTGCTGGAAGATCCCTGCAGCAGGTACCGAGCCGCAGACAGACAGATGAGCTGGCTGGTGTGAAGACCCTGTAGCAGGTGCAGGACAGCAGGCAGATGCAGGATCTCAAATGGTCAGGCAGGCAAGAGCCGTTATCAGCCAGGCAGCAGACATGCAGAATCAGGAACCAAAGCAGAGTCAGAGCCAGGCCAGGGTCAGCATTGGTTGAGCAGAGATGGTATCAAAGCAGTAGGCAGAAGGCAGAGTCAGAACGCAAGCCAGAATCAGCAACGGGGTATCAAAAACAAGCACGGTCAAAAAAGATGGCAGCCACTCAACAATCCTCTGATCTCTGGAGCCACTTTAAATGGGCAAGTGAGCGCCAAGTACTCAGGCTCACTCATGCTAATGCGCATGCACGTGTGTGAATTAGGGTATGTCTAGATGTCACTCAAGAATTATTATGAGCATGCGCACATCTTCGCGCACAACTATGAATATGATTTCCCTGACAGATATATATTCCCAATCAAACTCTTTCTCCAAGGGCTCAGAAGTTCATATAGAAACACAAAAGCTTCATAGTATAAAACTGCCAGACATTTACTACAGACAAAATAAAATCTCACTCACGTAACATAGATTAACCAACTAGATTCCAATCTGCAGTTATTACTGGCCAGAGAATACTTGGTCACATCAAGGGCCTATCCAGCGTGATGACGTCAATAAGCCCTGACCATCTGACACACTGCGTCGCTCTGGACATTATCAAAGGTCATCAAAGGAATATTTATCAAGAGAATATTTGTATCCTTTATGAAAGCAATATTTTTTATGTATGAGGATTGATTACTGTCTATATATTTATTGGGTGGAGTGCTTCACTATATTGCACATATACTATTTTGATTGACGTACGTTTTTAGTGCGAGTATAAGGATTAAAAATCGTTAACATTGATTAAGAGAGTTTAGTTCCGCTTTAAAGTGGATCTAAACCCTTAAAGTTTTTCACAAGTTTAGCTTGAGATATGAAAAGACTGAAATACAGAAGATCTGGACATTCCTTTCCAATTCTAGGACTATGGCCAAGTAAGAGAAAGGAAAATATTAGAGAAACAGGAGAAAAGAAAGAAAGAAAGAAAGAAAGAAAGAAAGGAAGGAAAGAAAGAAAGAAGGAAAGAAGGAAAGAAGGAAAGAAGGAAAGAAGAAAGAAAGAAAGAAAGAAAGAAAGAAAAAGAAAGAAAGAAAGAAAGAAAGAAAGAAAGAAGAAAGAAAGAAAGAAAGAAAAGAAAAGAGAAAGAAAGAAACAGGAGACAGCCAGAGAGATAAAGAAAAATATAAAAAAGAAAGAAAGAAAAAAAATAGAGAAATGGGAGACAGAGAGAAAGAAAGGAGAGAAACAGGAGACAGAGAGTAAAGCATGCTTGGTATACTCACTGTGAAACCTAAGGGGTTAATCATCTGCATTGTGTAAAAACACTGTTTGATCCTGACTTCTCTGATTCTCCCCTTCTTCCAGTGTCCCCATCTTATCTCCTGATAAGACATATTGTGTGAAGCCACTCTGCACATGCTCAGTTGGGTATGTAGTGCTAGAGAAGGTTTTTTTTTTTCATTTTTCTTGGGAGAGTGCATGTGATCACCACTGTTTAGACGGAGGTCAGTGGTTCTGCATCCTCCTAGAGCAAAATGAAAACTCCTCCCACAAGCTTTAACCAGAGCTCAGCTGGACACTGATAGAACCCTGCTGATTGAGCACTGACTGCCATGGAGGAAGGAGCAGTGGTAGACAGCTTGCAAGAAGAGTTTAAGGGGGGTTGGGGGTCCTTTGCAGAGACACTGTAACTTTGCCCTGCATGGTTAAGGTGACGGTGTCTCTTAAAACAGGCTGATTCTTATTAATGTTATTCAATTGCTCCACAAAAGAATTAAAGACCAGCAAAGGTTGCTTTACTGCATCAACATTCTCATGTGTCTTGTGAACACGACTATCAAGCAGGGTGCCTGGGATTATCTAGGCTTAGTACCAGGGGCAGATTGACAACTCATGGGGCCCCCGGGCAATAGGGGATCATGGGGCCCCTGTGTCCTCACCCACACCTAAAACACACACCAAACAAGCCTATGAAAGGTACCAGGGGCATCTCATGGGGCCCTCTACTGACCCTGGGCACTCGGGCAGTGCCGAGTTCCAGAATGGTCAGTCCACCCCTGCTAGTACTGTCTTTGGAACTATTACACAGAACCAGAGTGTGCCAGCTCTTCCCTCTTGCCACTCTGTGCAAAATACATATCGACCCCCCCCCCCCCAGGTATACAGTATTTCATGTTGGCACTAATGACAATTTTCTTCTTCCCAAGAGCACAGAGCAACACTATATGGCAACAGAAGGGAAAGAGGTAAATTCTCACTACATTTCTATTCCACTTACACAACAATGCCACCGAGAGAAAGCAAAGCAGAACTTGTTCTGGGGCGTGATAGAAACGTGAACTGTAATGTGTAATACTTTATGGCCATGTTATGTTCCCTTTATGCTGCACTATTATGGACATGGAACAATCTATGTCTGTATTTCAGGACTTTATACACATGTGGATCAATAGGCCTGGCCCTTGAAGTATAGAATTTACGAGAATATTGATACACATGGTGCCATATAAATGGTGAAGTATATCATTCACTGTATTAATATACTTTGGAGGACAGTTGACCATGAAAATACGTTTTTCCAACAGCCACAGAATGGGGATTCTTAAGACTTTTTTTATGTAATTATTGGGATTATGTATTCAGGTCAGGGACAAGGGTTGGGCAGGAGGGGCGGCTGCCCTGGGCATAATGGTTTACTGTAGGGATGAGGGCTCCTTCCTGCTGTTACAAGGATAACAGGAGTAGTAACAGGGCCATCACTACTCCTGTCAGCCCACAGCTGGGAGCGGCAAAGAGAGAAATGGGAGGTGATACAGGCTGTGTTCTCTCTTCCCTGCCTCCTTCCTGCCACTATAGCACTCCTAAACTCAGAAGCCATTTGGCGTATTTGCCCTGGGCGCTGGATCACCTTGTCCTGGCACTGTATGTTATTATACACCTGGAGGAACCCCTGGAAATTTCAAGTTTTTCAGCTCTGCTCTAGTACTTGGTCCCAGACTGACCTGGAGATTTTTAAATGGGTGTATTTAAAAGCAAAGCCCTGTGGAAGAAAGAAGGCTAGGTAGCAAAATGCTGAAATAAATTTCCATTTACAGGTGGAACCATGATCAAGGTATCTATGGTCATTCCGCACAGTCATCTGATAATTTCACAATCCTAAACACGCTAGGCTGAGGTGAGAAACAATTCAGACCCATACACAGAGGTTACTACTTTTAGTACGGTAGTCGGTAGAGCAGTACAAATGCCTGCAGCAATAACGGTACAGGCTACCTAAACATGTATGGTCCTGCCTAGTCACCGGCCAGTGAACCTTAACTCAGTCATGCCAGAGTCGGGGCTGTTAGTCTCTGGTGGAGCACTTAATGAAATAAAATGGACTTAAGTGGCCAAGAGGCCTATCACCACAAAAGTTGCTCTTTGGTCTCAAGCGGCCCTCGTAAACCAGGTGTAGAGATGTGCTGGTTGCTTTAAAACTTAAACAGCAGTTGCAAAGCATTTTTTTTTATTTTCCCTTGTTGTGGTGACAGACAGGAAAAGCAGGACTGTGCTCTGATTGGTGGTTGCTACAGCTGAGAAGGATCCACCCATAGCAGCACTGTTGCAGCTGAACTTATGATTGGCTGTGGAGGAAAAGGAGAGAGGAAAAAGGAAGAAGCACATATGGGGAGGGAGACATTTTCAGGGGACCGCATGGAGCAAGGGCTCCTGGTGTAAACCCATAAACTGGCCTCGGAGTGTGTAGCAGAGGAATTGTTGCAGGAGGACAGTGTGCAAACCAAGGATTGTCCTGCCTGACACTCAGGATTACAGCCACTCAAGTGCATGTGTCTCTCAAAGTCTGGAGCTGCTGAAAGAGAGAGGATTTCTACTACTGTCTAATGCTATCTGGAGGACAATCCAGAAACAGTGAGTACTCTGTGATGAAAGGGGATTTTGATATTGCTGCATTTGCTGTTCATCTCTGGAGAATGGTCATGAGAAAGCCTACTCTCTAATTCTCAGAGTGACACAGATCTTGGAAAGCCCAAGCTGCTCAGAATTAGCTATTCCTGCTGCTGATTGATGAGAGAACTCTGTCTCTGTGTATTACTGGTGATTGTCTCCTCAAAACTTGTGCTGTGGCTGAAGAGTGTCTTTAGTTCCAAATCCCCACAGAAGCTTGCTGTTTTAAATATACTGAGCAAGTGTTAATACATCAGGATTCACCTGTATGGTAAAGATTTGTTGAAGTGTTGTTCTTTTCTATTGCAATGTTCACTGGAAGATTCTGCTTAAAGAAGACTGTGCTATCCTGCTACCCCTGGATTACAAATACTCTCCCATGCAGAGAGTGAGCGCTCTTCCATTGATTAACCCCCCTGGCGGTATTCCCGAGTGTAGCTCGGGTAAAATTTCAGTACCAAAAGCGGTAACCCCAAGCTACACTCGGGTTTACCATGCGGCGCTGCATAGGGATTCCCTGCAGAGCTTTCCTTGTCCTTCGCTCCCGCGATGTGTCCCCTGCAGCGTCCCCAGCCATCTCCTCCGGCTGATGCCGGCATCCGGCTTCTGTGTTCCGGTCCCTGTGACGTCGGGACGTACGGGCGTCGGAACCGGCGGGAAATTTGAAAATTTTAAAAAATGTTCATTTTTTTCTAAACAAATTTTGCATAGCAAAACATTGCTGTTTCAAACCATTTCACATACATGTTGTCCCGAGTGCTTTGTCCTGTCCCCTGTCTGCATTTTGACTGTTCTTTCTGCCTGGAAACTTAGAAAAGTCCATGGCGTCCAAAAAGCGTCCCTTTAGGTCAAAAGCGGTTTTAGACCGGCTAGAGAACAGCGATAGTAAATCAGAACCACTTGCAGAATTGAGTGATAATGATTCGTGGGGGAAATTCCTCATCAGACACTGAAAACAATTTTGCAACTTTGCTCAGTGATGTGCGAACTTGGCACTATATTTCAAATTTCAGTGTTTTTGGTTTGATTATATTATTGAATTAAATGTATTATTATTATATTATTATTTTTTTTATGATTACTTATTAAATTATAATTTATGATTTCGTGTTTCAAATTTTATCCTACCCGGGATGTTTACTAGACTCTTGTTCAGACAGCTTTCAGTGAGTTATTCCTAAAAATTACAGCCTACAATAAAAAAACTACATATTTCCATGCAAAAAAATGGTACCGCTTTCAGCACCAAAAATCTGAAATAATCATACCGCCAAGGAGGTTAAAGGGCTGCAACGTTGAGAGACTTTAAGTTTCATTCCACTGGCCAGTGGTTAGGTAGGATACTTCTGCTCTAGATAGTATTGCTATAACAAATGTCAATAAGCTGCTTAACCTCATTAACAGTTAATGTTTCATGTGTCAATGTCACCTTAGTCAGTGTGATACTAGTCAGTTTTTGGAGTCTATGGCGAGTGAATTGTGATTTCTTACTATCTGTGTTAGGCAAAGTGGTATCTGTGTTTTATGTACATTACCTGTGTTAAATCAGCTACTTCTTTTTCAGGGTTTGTCTTCTTCAATAAAACCCATAAGAAGTATTCTCAGAGTGTGGAAGTGTTCTGGGCATAATCGGAGGTGTCACCAGATTCAGGTGGGAGCTGAACCTATATATCTAGCCAAGCATCACCCAAGGATGTGCTACACAGGCGATAGGTATCAGGGGCCCCGATTTTAAGGCATCAATGGTTGAATGACTCTCAGTAGCTTTGGAGTCCTGATGCAGCAGTCTCATGGCACTGCTAGACAACATGATACCAGATCAGTGGGTCAACTGGAACATCTGAAACACTTGAACAGCAAGATAGCTAGAACTCCTGGAATGTGGAAACTGCTGCTCAGTCTCTGGAACAGTAGCACTACTTACAGCAGCATATGGTAGTCTTTCCACTGGTCCCTGCTGTCAAGGTCCTACCTTTCCTCAGAGCTTGTGCTGCTCCATGTGCTGGCATCCATCTTAGGTTTCTGCAAAGCATGGTGGGAGCCTTTATGCTTTCAGGCCTCTGCGGCTCCTCCTCCTGGAGGGTGTGGCTGATCACATTTAAGCCTGCTGTCTGCAGCTGCTCTTTGCATTCGTGTCCTGTATGTTTCATTGCCGCAAGCTCTTGTTCAGCTCTCGTTGCTCTACTGGAAACCAACCCGGCTTTGTCAAGACATTTCTCTGCCTTATCCCATTACCTGACCTCCCGTTGCTGAACCCGGCCCGTGACCTGAGTATTCTTGCATACTGTCTTGTACTGTCTGCTCCGCTGTTATCGACCCGGCCTGTCCGACCACGCTATACGTCTTCCCATCTGGCTCCCACTAGCTATACGCCATTACCGGCAGCCGTTACCACAGCTGGGGTTACTCGGGGTCGCGACCTGGTCTCAGGCTGCGTCAAGTCCATCCCCACCATCAGGGGCCCTGGTGAAAGGCAGCCTGGGGCATAGACTCCGCGCCCTGAGGGATTCCAGTCTCTGGGTGGTGGCTGTCACCAGTCGGTGCGTGACCTTACCATAAGGCCTGCCTGTCCATTCCCCTGCTCCTGCCCTGACACCTGCAGCCAGCAGATCTCAGCATAGCAGCATGTGGTCCAAGTGAACAGCTTCTAGATATCCTGAGCCCTCTCCCGGTGCTCACAAACACTTCACTGCATACTCTTTAAGTTTGCCCCAGGGCTTCAGTAGATGTCCATACAATAAAGGAAAGCACAGCAGCATTAAAATTAAAGAAACAGATTAAAAAACACTCACAAGCATGTGCTGATAGGGAGCCTATCGGTGGAATAGACCACTAGGTGCATTCCCCACTGTCTGCAGCAGCAGCTACAATGTCCCTGATCCTAATACCCGACTAGCAGCTTGGGATCTATGAGCGGGCAAGATGGCTGCCTGGTGACATCTGGGACCAGAGTAGAGTGCAAGTGGCAGGAAGTGACGTCACTCCAGAACTGGGAGTAATGCATTCCAGAGTATGCCCAGTTTGCTCCTTTGTCAAAACCCTTAGTTTGTTTAAACCTCTCAGTAGATGTCCACATTGTGGGTCAGTGGGGCTACCTCAGGCTAGGGCCAAGGTCCTAGAACCGGGCCAAGTCTCCGTTTTACATATACAGTATGCGAAAATAAGGAGGGTGTAAGGGGTGAACTGGAAATTAGTAAGGACTTTTCAGCTTAACATAATGACTGCTGCTCTATGCAAATATAGAAACACACCTAAATAAAAATAACGCCATTATCAACAGAAATCCTTATCAGGAACCTAAGTTCCTTTAACAAATGAGCATGACACGTTTCATAGTTTTGCGTTCTTCCAACGTTACTTTCCTTCATAGCTCTCTGCATTTAAATCTCATTTCATTCTCAAATGAAGTCAATCCTAGAAGACTTCCATCCTCCTAGAGCTGTGATCCAAGATCTGAGCAGAAAGCACATGACTATATAACAGCTAGAAGCCATCATAGACTGCAGGTCTTGCTCTGATTGAATTCTGACTGGGTAAGTATCTCCACATGTAGCTACCAGTCCAACATATATTATGTGCAGCTGCCTGGGGGCCAAATGCCCCCTGCCCCTCAGCCCAGTCCTCCCCTGCAGGGGCGGGCTGACCATTTGGAAACTCGGGCACTGCCCGAGGGCCCAGGGTCAGTAGGGGGCCCCATGAGATGCCCCTGGTACCTTTTTCATAGGCTTTTTTGAGTTTGGGCAAGGACACAGGGGCCCCATGATCCCCTATTGCCCGGGGGCCCCGTGAGTTGTCAGTCCACTCCTGTTCCCCTGTTTTGCAGTTCAACGGCATTTGGTGGGACTTGGTGCAAAGATTTTATGAAACCGCCTAACACTGCCTTACTAGAATTTTTTTTTAACTTTATTTACCTTTTTGGTTTCCAATTCATGATTTTTTTGAAGGCAGTGGTGACGTAGCCCGGACTGCACAAATCACCCCTGGAAAGGCAATGTCACCATGGCTTTCTGGGAAATCTCATACTTAAAACTGTCAAATCTCGATGTATTGATATACTGCGCAAGATGAAGTGCTGAACGTCATGCAGAGTATAAAATTTCATTTATTTGCAGGGGAGAAGGATTTCTCCTTCATTTTCAACAAATGCATGTAAATGTCATACGGTACATGCATGACATGAGGCCCATGACATCACCTTTTTCATCTCGCTCATGACAGAACAATGATTATTTTTTAAAAATGTTGGTACAGAGGCAGGGAGCCAGGCAGCACAGAATCAGAATAAAAACTCTTAACAATGCAAAAAGTAAAAAATCAAAAGTCATATGGACATACTTATTTATTTCCCCCTTTACATACACTATATTGCCAAAAGTATTGGGATGCCTGCCTTTACACGCACATGAACTTTAATGGCATCCCAGTCTTAGTCCGTAGGGTTCAATATTGAGTTGAACAGTCTGGATAAAAGCACACAGATGTGTCCCAAAGGAAATAAGTGAATGGTATATGTCAACTGTGATTGGTGGGGAAAAAACTCACTGCTGCCATGGTAAAAACAGATCGGTTTGTGGAAAGTATGAACAGGAGCCAGGCGCTGTGTAGTTTTGTGATAAAAGTAATACATCTTATATGGAAGTGTGCCTTAATAATTCATATGGTAAAAAATAGATAACCAGCCTGTGGCTTTAAGAAGCCAGGTTCCAAGATGGACGGCCCGTCCGCTCAGAGGGAAGTAGTGGAGTAGAATGCCTGTCAGTGCAGAGACCATGTGTATCCGACGTCCCAGCGTCCCGGATGACGTCACCACGATGTGGAGAGACGGAGGGGGGGAACTCTTGCTGGAGCCGCAGCTTTAGAAGGAAGAGGCCGGTTGCCGGGATAACATGTTTCATGCGCGCATGCGCTTTATCAAGTCTCAAGACTTAATCAAGACTTGATAAAGCGCATGCGCGTGAAACATGTTGTCCCAGCAACCGGCCTCTTCTTTCTATAGCTGCGGCTCCAGCAAGAGTTCCCCCCCTCCGTCTCTCCACATCGTGGTGACGTCATCCGGGACGCTCGGACGTCGGATACACGTGGTCCCTGCACTGACAGGCATTCTACTCCACTACTTCCCTCTGAGCGGACGGGCCGTCCATCTTGGAACCTGGCTTCTTAAAGCCACAGGCTGGTTATCTATTTTTTACCATATGAATTAATAAAGGCACACTCCATATAAGGTGTATTACTTTTATCACAAAACTACACAGCGCCTGGCTCCTGTTCATACTTTCAATATTGAGTTGGCCTACCCTTTGCAGCTATAACAGCTTCAACTCTTCTGGGAAGACCGTCCACAAGGTTTAGGAGGGTGTCTATGGGAAGGTTGGACCATTCTTCCAGAAGTGCATTTGTCAGGTCACTGATGTCGGAGAGGAGGCCTGGCTCACAGTCTCCATTCTAATTCATCCCAAAGGTGTTCTGTTGGTGTGGGGTCAGGACTCTGTGCAGAGCAGTCACATTCTTCAACCCCAAACTCGCTCATCCATGTCTTTACGGAGATTTCTTTGTACACTGGTGTGCAGTGATGTTGGAACAGGAGGGGGCCATCCCCAAACTCTTCCCACAAAGTTGGGAGCATGAAATTGTCCAAAATGTCTTGGCATGCTGACGCCTTAAATGTTCCCTTTCACTGGAACTAAGGGGCCAAGCCCAACCCCTGAAAAACAACCCCACACCATAATCCCCCCCCCTCCACCAAACTTTACACTTGGCACAATGCAATCATGAAAGTACCGTTCTCCTGGCAACTGCCAAACCCAGACACGTCCATCGGATTGCCATACAGAGAAGTGTGATTGGTCACTCCAGAGAACACGTCTCCACTCCACTGATGCTTTGCATTGCACTTGGTGATGTAAGGCTTGGATGCAGCTGCTCGGCCATGGAAACCCATTCCATGAAGCTCTCTATGCACTGTTGTTGTGCTCATCTGAAGATCACACAAAGTTTGGTGGTCTTTAGCTATTAACTCTGCAGACAGTTGGTGACTTCTGCGCACTGTGCGCTTCAGCATGCACTGACCCCGCTCTGTCATGTGACGTGGCCTACCACTTGGTGGCTGAGCTGCTGTTGTTCCCAGTTGCTTCCAATTTGTTATAATCCCACTAACAGCTGACCGTGGAATATTTAGTAGCCAGGAAATGTCACGGATGGACTTATTGCACAGGTGGCAACCTATCACGGGACCACGCTTGGAGTCACTGAGCTCCTGAGAGCGACCCATTCTTTCACAAATGTTTGTAGAAGCCGTCTGCATTCCTAGGGGCTTGATTGTATACACCTGTGTCCATGGAGGGGATTGGAAAACCCGAATCCAATGATTTGGAAGGCTGGCCTTTTGGCAATATAGTGTAGGACTGAGCATAAGTTGAGGCCCCATTAAACGACCTTAAAGAATATGTTATCCAACCTTTCATATTCCCAATGTGTGTCTGCTGTACCATGTACTCATGTTTAAAAACTATCCTGTTCTCTTTGTATTGTTTCCTTTGTGTGAAATCCCTGGTGATCCTACCAGTCCCTCTCCTTTCCTATTTCAAAGTGACCACACTAGATATGAGAGTACATCCATGTCAGTGTGGTCAGTTTTTTTGGCTGTGCTGTGAAAACAACCTGCCTATACTCCAATGTTCAGACTTGTGCTGACACACCCCCTGCACAGCTCTTCAATGGGAAGATCAGTGTGCTGCTGTTTCTCCACCCCTGTCTCTCTAAGCCCCTTAAGCTGCAGCTGAGAACAGAGGTCATGTGATCACTAAGTAAGTACATAGGGATTCATCTGAAGACTAATACATAAAATCTGAACTTCAGAACTGCTGGTACATTTAAGTGTAAATCACATAAAATATTTCTTGCATTCCAACCTTACAGTAATAACTCAAAAATATATTCCCTGAAAATATGACAGTTTGCTTACCTTACCTTTCCTTACATAGCATATTTGTATTTTGCACTTATGATGAACAATGTTTGATCACGTAAGTCGTGTACAGCGAACATATGTTAAATCCATTTTGTGTAACTCAGATGGCCTGGCCTAAATCACTTTAATAGTTCCTGTAATAAAAGTGACAGCTGGAGATATGGAGGAAAAGAGCACTGTGAATGGCAATCAATAGGTTCGCAGCAATAACTCGAAAAGAACAATTTTTTACGCTGACTGACAGATTGCTCACTCTGACACCATAATGCCAAAAACATGTTTTTCAGCACCCATGGGAGCCAATCGAAGGCTGTGTCCAAAATGCGGGGCAATTACATGTGCATTCATCCCTCAGAAAAGCTAATAATTTATTTTTCAACTTATGACTCATTGGATAAAACCAAGTAATGTATGCCAACATATGTGCAAATCTAGGTTATGCATAGTGGTGACCAGGGGCAGACTGACAACTCATGGGGCCCCCGGGCAATAGGGGATCATGGGGCCCCTGCGTCCTTGCCCAAACTCAAAAAAGCCTATGAAAAAGGTACCAGGGGCATCTCATGGGGCCCCCTACTGACCCCAGGCCCTCGTGCAGTGCCCTAGTTTTCAAATGGTCAGTCCGCCCCTGGTCAGGATAAACCAAGGATCCTGACACATATCCTTGGACCAGACACTGAAAGTCTGACAGAAGGGTACAATGACATGCTGTAGGGCAGAGCCTTCATGAAGTTTATTTCTGATTGTTTGGTCAGAGACATTCATACCAATGGCCTGCTGGAGGACATTTTGTAGGGCTCTGGCAGGGTTCATCCTGTTCCTCTTTACACAAAGGAGCAGATACTCATCCTGCTGATGGATTAAGGACCTTCTACGGACCTGTTCAGCTATCCTAGAGTAACTGCCTGTCTCCTGGAATGCATAGTGGTGACCAGGGGCGGACTGACAACTCATGGGGCCCCCGGGCAATAGGGGATCATGGGGCCCCTGTGTCCTTGCCCAAACTCAAAAAAAGCCTATGAAAAAGGTACCAGGGGCATCCCATGGGGCCCCTTACTGACCCTGGGCCCTTGGGCAGTGCCCAAGTTTCCAAATGGTCAGTCCGCCCCTGGTGGTGACAGTAACTATAAGTAGACGTAAACCCAAGAACAAAAATGTAATATATTGCAGCTTATCAGTCCTTAAATGTGGCGGCTGCATTAGTTTTCTTTTACCAGGCTCACTCATCCAGGGTGGGGATACTCTAATACAGGAAGTGTGTTACTGGCCAGATAGCCAATTGAAAACAGGGGGGAAAAAAGCTGAAAAAAACTAATGCAGCCACCACATCTAATTATTGGCAAGCTTTACATTTTTGATTTTGGGTTTAATACCGTTTAGGGTGAATTTCTGGCAGATTTAAGATACAAATAATTCAGCTCTGTAATCATTAATACATTTTCATGGGATTGAATTTCAAAGGACAAATAGCTATACTGGTAACGCAAATTTAGAGCTTAATCCCTTGGGTATATATGGGTCAGGGGCGGACTGACCATTTGGAAACTCGGGCACTGCCCAAGGGCCTGGGGTCAGTAGGGGGCCCCATGAGATGCCCCTGGTACCTTTTTCATAGGCTTTTTTGAGTTTGGGCAAGGACACAGGGGCCCATGATCCCCTATTGCCCGGGGGCCCCATGAGTTGTCAGTCCGCCCCTGATATGGGTATAGTTTTTCAAATAGCTTGGCCATGGCATCACATTTGGATGACAGCACAGACAAGCCTTAAAGGTTAGGCAGGAGGCCCTTGTAGGTGTTTCCTGGAGCCGCATGGGACTTCTGTGTCGGGTAAGGTGGGCAAGTATTTGTCTCCCGGTAAGGGGCATGGATGCTATTTGACTTGGTTATCTCGACTCCACCTCTATCTGGTCTGCCACATGCATGGCCTTTATGACTTGGACATTCCCTATGTGCCTGAGGTTCCATTCAAGCTAATCAAGATGGAAAGGCAGAAGATCTAAAAAAACACAGAGATAGGATGCTCTTCAATACAGCAACAGTCTCTGGCTGGGGACACTGCCCTTTCCTGTGCATTTTAAGAGGTATTTTAATGAATGGAACTATGAGCATCATGTTCCTATGGACAAAGTAGTGCAGTCCTGACCAGGATGGGATGACATTATTATGTGCACAAACAGCACTCGGAGACTGGGGAGTGGTGAGACAACCCAGACCAGGGCTGGATCCAGCCTATATAATCTGGAGGTGCAGTATAAAAAGTCAGGGGGCATAATGTAAACAGTGTAACAGAGATGCCACCAGTATTCCCATATTCAGCATGTACAGGAGATACACAGAATATAACTGGATATAACATTTATAGGTAAGGTTGATCCAGGGAATATCCGATTGCCTCTCGGAGTATCAGGAAGGAATTTTTTTTCGTTGCAGGAGAAAATTGGATCGTGCTTTGCTGTTTTTTTTTCCTTTCTCTGGATCAACTGTGGGTGTAGGGTTATCACCTTTTTTTTTAATGGTTGAACTGGGTGGACTTTTGTCTTTTTTCAGCCAGACTAACTATGTAACTATGCTTCTTTACCATAAGTCCCAACTGGGAAATAATGTCTGACAGGCAGTGCAGAGGCAGGACAGGAGTGAACAGGGAATGCTAGTATGTATTACACTGTCATTAGATTAGGATAATTATATAGAATCCATGCCCCTTTTTATCAAGTGCCCCTTTCAGAGCCCACCTTTCATCAGGGGTCCTCATCAGAGTCCTTCTTAAAATTTGGTGTCCCCATCAGTGACACAACTGTCTGCATCAGAGTACCACTATCTATCTATCTATCTATCTATCTATCTATCTATCTATCTATCTATCTATCTATCTCCCCATCAGACCTCCCTTACATCAATTGTCCCAACTAAAGCCCCTCTTACATTTATTGTCCCCATCAGAGCCCCCCTTATATCGACTGTCCCCATCAGAGCCCCCCTTATATCGACTGTCCCCATCAGACCTCCCCTTACATCAATTGTCCTTAACAGAGTCCCCCTTACATCAATTGTCCCCATTACAGCCCCTCTTACATTTACAGTCCCCATTAGAGCCCCCCTTATATTGACTGTCCCCATCAGAGCCCCTCTTACATCTACTGTCCCCATTCGAGTCCCCCTTACATCAAATGTCCCCATTAGAACCCCTTCTTATATCCACTGTCCTTAACAGAGTCCCACTTACATCAATTGTCCCCATTACAGCCCCTCTTACATTTACTGTCCCTATCAGAGCCCCCCTTATATTGACTGTCTCCATTAGAGCCCCCCTTACATCAACTGTCCCCATCAGAGTCCCCCTTACTTTACATCAAATGTCCCCATTAGACCCCCCCTTATATCAACTGTCCTTAAGAGAGCCCCCCTTACATCAATTGTCCCCATTACAGCCCCTCTTACATTTACTGTCCCAATCAGAGCCCCCCTTATATCGACTGTCCCCATTAGAGCCCCCTTTACATCAACTGTCCCCATCAGAGTCCCCCTTACATCAAATATCCCCATTAGACCCCCCCCTTACATCAGCTGTCCTTAACAGAGTCCCCCTTACATCAATTGTCCCCATTACAGCCCCTCTTACATTCACTGTCCCCATCAGAACCTTCCTTATATCGACTTTCCCCATCAGAGAGTCCCCCTTACATCAACTGTCCCCATCAGAGTCCCCTTTACATCAAACGTCCCCATTAGACCCTCCCTTACATCAGCTCTCCTTACCAGAGTCCCCCTTACATCAATTGTCCCCATTACAGCTCCTCTTACATTGACTGTCCCCATCAGAGCCCCCCTTATATCGACTGTCCCCATCAGAGTCCTCCTTACATCAAATGTCCCCATTAGACCCCCCCTTACATCAACTATCTTTAACAGAGTCCCCCTTACATCAATTGCCCCCTCAGAGTTCCCCTTACATCAATTGTACCCATCAGAGTGCCTCATGGATCAGTGGATGCACTCTTAGAGACTTACAGGGGCACAACTAAAATCTGGGGGGCCTCAGCCCACCCCATCACCCCCCAGGCCTCACCCAGACCTGTAATGCTGCACAGACAATTCCTGGAGTTCCTCTTTAGTGGCCATTTCTGTGCGAATTTTCTGCACCACAAAGAAATGCGCAGCCAATGTGAAACAAGCGTACAGATACTATTCGTTGTTAAAGGCACCCTAAACATACATAGGAAACATGTGCCAGTTGAGTCTGCAAACGTGTTAGGTACCCTAGTGCTATGCAGTTTGGTCTGGAACAATTTTTAAAGTCATGCCTGCCATACATTTTTGTACATTTCTATGCCTTTGGTAGTTTATTACAATAAAAAACGCAGTTAAAAATGCAGAAAAGTGTGGAAACGCACAAAAAGATGAGTGTGTTTGCGTTCCGGTGCGAACTGGCCCTCAAACAATCACATCTTGAATACAGAAACACCATTTGCTATAATTTCAAAACCTAAAATGAATGTCTCTCTTTTGCTTTAAGTATTGTTGCCTCTCCAAGACAAAGTAAAAAGCTGTTTTGTTTAAATGATTGTAATTCTAGGTTGGTGATTTGTTATCTCATAATGGAAGGAGCTGTCGAAATTAATGGCCAGGATAGCTCTGCATAAACATCTGTTCAATCTTCCTGCCAAATTACACCTAGATAGGAAGAAGGGAGCTATGGCAGAGAAATGGCAGAGGTGACACCGACAGCTTTACAGCCAGGGACCTCACCTTATTTGCAGTAACTCACTGTGTATTACTCTGTCTGATACGGTCAGCTTGGCCTATGAATATTGGTAATATTTGGCTCAGGAAGAAAATGGGTAGGTTGATTGAAAAAGTAAATTAAAAAGCAGAGAGATGGGAAAAAAAATACAAACGATAACTGGATTGTGTAAGCCGACATTATTAACGCATTTGGTTTACAAGCCAGACAGGAGCTGTACATCACAAGGGTGCTATTGTGATAGTAAATGAAGAGACAATCTTCAAGAAGGGTGTGCTGTGTTCTGTTTGATTAAAATCCAATTCCAGGCTCAGACCTCTTCCCTCATTAAAGGCTCTCCTAGTAGAATTTTATGTTATTTTTTAATATTTATGTTCATCCAAAGTTTCCTTGGAGTACTGGGTCATCCAGTTCTGGTTCCTATTCTTAAGTGCTAGATCCTCTTCTTGGTATCCCTCTTGGCATGCTGGGTCCTCTTGCCATGTTGGGTCCTCTTGGCATGCTGTGTCCTCTTCATGGAGTTCTAGGTCCCTTTCTTGGCATGATGGTTAATCTTCTTGGAGGCCTGGGTCCTCTTTTTGGCATGCTGGGTCCTCTTCTTGGAGTTCTGGTTCCTATTCTTCTAGTGCTAGGTCCTCTTCTTGGCATGCTGGGTCCTCTTGACATGCTGGGTCCTCTTGCCATGTTGGGGGTCCTCTTGGCATGCTGTGTCCTCTTCATGGAGTTCTAGGTTCCCTTTCTTGGCATGATGGTTACTCTTCTTGGAGGCCTGGGTCCTCTTTTTGGCATGCTGGGTCCTCTTCTTGGAGTTCTGGTTCCTATTCTTCTAGTGCTAGATCCTCTTCTTGGTATGCTGGGTCCTCTTGGCATGCTGGGTCCTCTTGGCATGCTGTGTCCTCTTCATGGAGTTCTAGGTCCCTTTCTTGGCATGATGGTTACTCTTCTTGGAGGCCTGGGTCCTCTTTTTGGCATGCTGGGTCCT